ACAGCAACATTTTAATGAGAGAAGTACTTGCTGTTATCTTAATGATGTCCAAGCTCAGCTTGATTCACCACCCTCTGTATAAGTGATACTTCAGAGTATCAAACAAACTACTTGTTTTCCAAAGGATAATCCAAGAAAGGAACATGTTTAACATTCACTGGGCTAAAAGAAGGTAGCAAGAGGTAGGGATTATTAGTAGCAACTGTGAAGTGATCCGCTTTCACTTCACACAAAAGCCTGACAAATGAAATGCAAGATCTGGAAAAGCAGCTGGCTGAAGTGGAGGTGGATAATTTCTCACACTGCTTTCTCTGAACAGGGATACCTGCACATTGTTTTCTTCTGAGGCCTTCTCTGAAGCCTTGCACCCTCCCCTTTTTTCCCTCCTTTTTTCATCTACCTGCTTAGAAGCAGAAGCTGCTGACACTGAGACTGAAAGTTTTTAACTACTTCTCAAGTGCAGGCAATGTGCTTTGCAAGAGGAAGGCCAAGACCCGGCATGCACAGGTGGGGAAAACACTCCAGATAGCTACTGACAAGGCTGTAGCAGTCAATAAGTCCTACAGACTTATTTGGGTAGTTATTGCTCCTTGCCGTGCCTTCTGAAATGTGTTAACATCTCCCACAGATGACAGGCTTTGTAGAAATATTCCCTTTGCTTTGTTTGTGTTCTTTTCAATCCATCTCGTCAAGTTTTTGACAGTGCTTAGACCTTTAATTTTCTCAAAGGATATATCTAATCCAGTTCATATGAGGTTGTTTTTGGAACACAGCAGAGCAGTCTTGGAAGAGCTTTACGCTAGCTGAAAACCTCAGCACAATAGTCTTACACATGGGACAAAATCCAGATAATCTGTCAGATGTTTATAGAGGTCACTAAAATGGAATTAAGCACTCTCCTGATTCAGAGCATTTGAAATTAAACAGATTCTTCAACTGATGTGTTATGTTCTTTATGGGCAATGAAACCTGTAAGGCTTTAGGAAAACGCACCCCAAACGTGGGCGTGACCTGTTTCTACTAAATGAAGGATTAGAAGGAGGAAGAATGTTAGAGGGATTTGAGTGCAGTTCCATGGTTTAGAACATTTTTGTTTGAAGATCTTTCCCGAACTGTATTTGTCAAATAGAAGGAAAATTCCAAATGCGGGTGAATGCGACAGCTTTGTTTGAAGGTTACTTACGTTTTACTTGTTCTAGTTTACCTCCATCTATGAAAAGGAGACAGATCACAATGAAAAAGATAAAATGAAAATTCTCCAGTCTCCACTTTCTTCTCATCTTTATCAACAAGAGTAAAAGAAGGAACCTCCGAAGTAGAGAATGTTGAGCTGTTGGGAAGAAAAGATGAAAAGAATTAAAGCAGAATCCTGTAAGATATATAAGTTCTCTGCCATGATTTCAGCCAGCACACAGAAATCCTAAACTGCCAGAACCAAAAATCTGTCTATATCAGATATCTTCATTTAACAGAAACAGCTTTGGCTTTAGATCATTTCATATTTGGAAAAGGGACCACATCCCCATTCATGAAAGCTGAAAAGTGGGTATTACACCTTATAAAGCCTTTATCTTGTTCCAAAGTAGAGACACCCAGAAAAGAAGCAAGCTAAATTTTAAAGTTCTCTTTCACAAGAAAAATAGTTTGGGAGATTTTCTTGGAGAGCAACTCTTTTGGATGTAACTAAGGGAATACAGGTGTCAGTTGTAACGTGTTTGCTTCTTCATAAAATTAACCTTGAATATAACCAGTATGTTAGCCCCGCAAAGTGGAAATACATACTTAGCGTGAAATGCTGGCCAGTCAATAGGAATTTTCCTCATTGAATCTAATGGGCTTCCACCACTATTGAATACACCCCCCACCCATCTCCCAACTCCTATTGTTCCGGGACTGTGTATAATTAATTTTCCTAGCGTTAACCCTTTCATTGCCTTGAAATCTGAAAGTACAATATGGGAATGACATGCCATCTTCATTCTTGTAGATCTTTAGTATCAAAACCTTGCATATGGAGCACAGCTTGATGTATTCTTGTCTGAGAGGTGCAGAGATAGTATTATGCTTGCTGCAAGCACCATTCTATTTACCTTTTTCTGGCTTTTTGAAGATGAATTGTTTTGCAATGAAAAAAAAACAAAGTCAGCGAATAATTAACTAAAGTAGAATTAACTTATTTTTAATAGCCAAACTAAGATTCTAAATTAAGAAATAAGTAGATGCCTTACTGTTCCTCAGAGTTCATTGCAAAAGTATTATCTTCCCAAAATATGCTTATCCAAAATTTACAGTGTTGAAAGGGATTGGTTTTGATTTTAACAGCCTTGAGGGGGATTCACAATGAGTTTTGTAAAAGTGAAAAAAAAGATTCACTATTGGAAGAATAAACAATCTGCTTTGTAAACTAATTTGACCTCTTCAGATTTCATGTTAGAACCATACACCAAGAGGTTTCAGTTGACACACAACCAAAGAAGTAATACTTATTGTACATGCATATTCAGAATTCAGTATTGCATGGACAGTTTAGAGAAATTAACTACATTGTCAGTCAAACTGTGAAGAAGTCATTGCAAGTTAACAACCACTTTAAAAACCATCTCCTTAGCAGGACAATTCCCTGTGACCTGGGATAATGTAAGAAAGAGTGGATGATTTGATTTTATTGGGGTGTTCTTACTGCCTTTACTGTTTAGGATTTCTCCACTCAGTATTCCCAAAACACTACCAAAACGGACATCTTCCTTGACTAACCAAATCTATGCAATTACTCTGTCTGTACTCAGCAGGCTCATTCAAAATAACGCAAAGTGCATCTGAAAACATTCAAAAGCATAATGCTATTTTAAAAGCACACTCCCTATGCAGTAACAAAATATAATTTTCCATTTATTTTGGAAACAGAGAATAATATTCCAATTTCAGAAGAAAAGTTTAAGTCATGTTTTCCTTTCAACATGTTCAAATCACATAGGACGTTTGTAAGCCAAACAAACTTTTGAGAACTTGTTTAAAATGAAAACCTCACGGTTAAGTCTCAGGACATCATGCCTGCATTGAAAACAACAGTAGCACATCACTGGGACTGGCAGAAACGGGAATGTTTAAATACTGTGGCCTTCTTGGGGTGGGGTGGGGGGGTTGCTTAAGCAAACAATATTTATAAACGGAGCACAATAATCCTTTGTGCAGCTCTTTACCTGTTTGCTAGATTGGTTAGCTCGGTTAGAAAGAGCTCAGAAATCCATCCATTTTAAATGTCAGGTCTTCAGAAGGAGGAACATTTTAAAACTTGGACTGCTTATGCTCAGAAACGCTGCACGGTGGGGTGAAATGGAGGAGTTAATAACAGAAATGGGATGGGGACTTTTGATGTCTTTCTTAATTCTCTTCAATTTCTGTATTGTTGCTACTCCAAATATAAACACATACTTTTCACTCTGAGCACACTCCCTTTATTTCCCCAAAGGGCAACGTCCTAAAAATATTCTTGGGTCTAAATAATCTCAGTTAGGATTAACCTGTTAATTATTGGTGCGTTTTGTACTTAGTAGAAACGAGGAACGGGAGCCACTTTTCACGGGAAGTTAGGAAACGACTTAAGTAGGTTAATTCAGCGGTGGGACCGGGCCCCGGCACGCTGTATGCCCCAGACGCAAGGCAGGGCTGGCACAGGCTGGCGGAGCCGGGAGCCGAGC